CCCCCCCCCCCAATCCGATTAATCGATTAATCGAAAAAGTAATCGACAGATTAATCGATTATCAAAATAATCGTTAGTTGCAGCCCTACTATAAATGTAGACAATGTAGAAAATGGAGGGATGAATAAATCGGACAGTGCCAGGAAATGCAATGAGGTGCGTGCATGCTCAAAAATCGGGTAGGTGGTACGGATTGGGTAGTGACAGCCGAATACCGCTTCAGTTCCCAAACCTCCCAGGCACACCCCATTGCGTGTATTTGTTGCATTTCAAATCAACCTCAATTAATTCATTAATTTAATTAGTATAGGAAAGTCAGTGAGGTATTGATTAGCTACACAAGGTGGGGTACACTGGTCTAGTCAAAAAACGTGTGTGTATTGGATGGTGTTGAGAATAGTGGGGTGACTTTAGGTGAGGTTTTGAAGTGGCTGACACACTTTGACAGACATAATATCAGTTTTACATCAACATGAATTTCATTTGAATATCATTTTCTTAGACTGCCTAAGACTGTAGCAAAGTACTGTATATAAATAACTGAGCTGTTTTTTGGTCCCCTTCAAGAAATAAGCATCCTAAAATTGTACAATACTATTTTTGAGCCTCAGGAACGGGAGGGTTAATTTTTTTAAAACTTAATTGGGAAGAGAATACTCTTTACTCTTTATTTCATAAAAATAGCCTGAAGTGTACCTGAAGTGCATCTAAAGTGTGACCTAAAATTGGTAAGGTGTTCCTTATTATAAGACTAATACAGGGGAGACCGCTTATAGTGATCATCATAACCAATTTTTTCTTTTTCTATGTCTCAGGCAGATAAATATACAAATGTTGATTAGATGGTAATTAAACGAATATATGGTAATAAAATGGATAGCATTGCTGTTTACAAAATTTTACTGACTTTCAAAATACACTACAACTGTTTGAAATGCTTTTCAAATGAGAGTACTGTACAAATTAAATTACTGAACTGTATAATTCAAATATGCTATAAAACAGTACAGTACCATACATAAAATATAGCTCATTGTAGTTTCACTGCTGCATCTCGTTGGCTCATTTTTTGGCAGTTTATCATAAGCTTTGATGAGTCTATATTTGTCACTGACAGAAAATGACTTTCTTTTTCCTGTCATGTTTTCTGTGCATGCAGCATTAGCCTCAGATAGCTAGCCAGAAGTACATGGGTTACCGCAGGACTTAGTCAATGGATCGTTTTTATGTGAAAACGGCATCTTACCTACTCTTCAACAGATATCCACAATACATTTGTAGATATCTGCAATTGCATTATTCTTAGTCAGAATTATAATTGTAGATACCTGAAATTGCATTTTTACTAGTCATAATATAAATTGTGGATATCCGTAAAGACATTTTTGCTAGTCACAATGTATTTCAGATATTCGAAATTACATTATGAATATCTAAAATGGTGGTACCCTTTCGGATATCTGAAATTAAAATTATGACTAGTAACAACTGGATTGTATATATCTGAAATGGGAGTTTTTTCTAATAAAAATTGAATTGCAGATATCCAGAATGAACATTCTGGATATCTGAAATATAATTGTGGATATTTGAAATTAAAAGCCCAATAGACATGAATGGCAAAAGTGGCGTAATTTCTCCTAGGAAGAATGACGATGTGGAAATCTGAAATGACAATTGTGGACAGGAAGAATGTCATTGTGGATATCTGAAATGCTCTTTTTGACTGAGAAGAATTGAATTAGAGATATCTGCGATACATATCCACTCTAGTGATTAAATGTTAAAACGGCTTGCCATAGGTGAGCACACTCCCACCAGCGGACAGAGAGCGAGTGTCGGAAAATATGTCACGTCAACCACCTGAATAGCCGGGTAATAAATACATTTCACAGTGGGATTTCTGCTTTAAACTATCACTATTTTAAGCTATCAGCTATCACTTTTAAAGCCTAACAGTTAATGTATTTGCAGGTCAAGACAAACATCTGCAATCGGACTTTGTCAGCTGACGTCACACTCGCTATAATCGCAGTGTATTATGGGTCGAATCGCCACTGCTATCATTAAAAGAAACACATGAATACCATGTATCCTGCTGGTGTCCGTCTGACACCCCCCCAAAGCTGTAAAGCTAGGGGAAACATTGAATGTTATAACAACTATAATCCTGCAGATTAAGCAAACATAGTGCTACCAAACTAATTATTAGAGATGGGCGATCCACGTTTTTTCAGTTCCGATCCGATTTCGATACACAACTGCCGATACCGATACAGATTCCGATACAAGAGCTCTTTTTACTTTGTTATACTTTACATATTATTTTTTTTAAGCTAGTAAATACAGATGGAAAAAATGTATGACAAAAAATATGTAATTAGGCTACTACAAACATACATAACGTACTGTTCCACCTCATTTGTTTTAAGCATTTTTGAGGCATTTGCAGTTCAATATGAATATCTTCAAAGCAAATATACACAAGTGGCGAATGCTTAAAATTTTAACAGTTTTTCTCCCATTGGCATCAGCGCAGTTACACTTTTGTTGCGATGGCAGCCCCTCTTGTATCTCAAGCAACGAGTTCGCAAAACAGTCCAATTAAGTTAGCGACTCCCAAATCATCCATTGCTTTGTTTTGTCTCGCAGTTGGGATTTTCCATTAAACGCTATTCCCACCTCAAAACCTTATTTTACATAGATTGCAAAACGCTGTGCTTCCGGTTTCTGTTAAAAGCCTAAAATACCCCCAGATCGTCACGTCTTATCTTACGCTCCTCGTACTGCGAAGGGTATGCGCATGACCTCACAGCAGGCGGAAGTCACTGTACTCACACCCACTGAGTAGCAAAAAAGACTTAGGGGCAGTGATAGCGTTCGATTTGAATTCCGCAAAAACACACATGTAAAATGGGAAAGAGCTGTCGTGCGATTGATTGCCAAAAACTAAATAAGTAAGTATAGGACGTGGATCAGTCACGCATGGCCGATTCCCGATCCGTCAAATAGGTCTGGATCGGCGCCGATACCGATCCGAATATCGGTATCGGTGCATCTCTACTAATTATACGGTTAAAATAAATACAGACGCTCCTCTACTTACGAACTTTCAGACATATGAACAAGTACTGTAAGTCCAAATTGTGTTCCTTGGGCTACTGTTTCCTGTCCGCAATATCAATTTTTTTTTCTGCGCGCCAATTCCACCTAGTACGACTTCTGGCCACTACTCCCGGTGCGCAGCAGCGTAGCGTCGTACTCCCAGCATCCTAGTTCTTTGTACTTGCGTATACCCTTAAAATGATGTTGAATAACAACTTATGAACATTTCAAGTGACGAACGATCATTCGGAACGTAACTCATTCATGAGTAGAGGAGCGTCTACAACATTTCACTATTGAGCTGTGCACAATGTACATTAATAATTTCATAAAACATGTCTATTATACTACAAAGCTAAATGTAAATGTATAATTAATAAAATATACTTTTTCAAAACATTTCAGAAATACTGGTCTAAAGTGAACACATTAATTTAACACAATGAAAGAACCAAATAAAACCCCAAAAGTTAATACTGAAAACTATAAGGGGTGAATGAACAGGAATTACATTCCATCATCCGCCGGTCTATGAATGTGTGTGTGGATGGGTGAATGTGAGACATGAATTGTAAAGCGCTTTGAGAGCTCGTAGGAGTAGAAAAGCGCTATATAAATGCAATTCATTTACCATTTTATATTTATTTAAAACATACAAATGGTACAAATATAGCTAATTGAAAAAATACATGTAATTTGTTTTTTTGTAACATTATGTCCTCCAAATATTTTTCACTGCTCCCCCAGTCAAAACAAGCTAAATCCGGCCCTGGAGAGGAGACATATGGTTGAACTGTTAGGCCCAATCCCAATACCCCCACTTAGCCCTACCCCTTAGGCCTACCCCTCCGTTTTGCGCGTACCCGCATAGGGTAGTGTTGTCCCATTTCTTTTTAGCAGCGAGGGGTAGTGGTGTTCAGCCCTCAAGATAGCCCTCGAAACGGAGATTTTTCAGACGCTGACTCAAAACCGAGTGAAAGAAGAAAATTCCCACAATACGTTGCAATACACAACAAGAAAAGAAAAGATGGCTAGCAGTGTGGGGAAAGAAGCTCATATCTTTATAAATACGCTTGCAAAAAAATCAAATGTTAGCGGAATATCTTAGTTTAATGTAAGTGAAACAGAGTATGAGGTTGAATTTTTCAAAAACAATTTTCTGAAAATCATTAATTACATGCGTAGAGACAGAGCAGTATCTCAAGTATTTATAGAAAAAGAACCGAGCAGGGGTGAGTTTCACAAAACCGTTGAAGAATTAAGAACGTATTTATTCAGAGAGAGAGCATTCAAAGTCCTTTTTATGTAGTTTTTTGGCTACGACACTTTTGGGAAGCTCACCCCCGATTGTTTTCTGTGTTTCGTGCAATAGTCTTCTAAGTGCATTATTCTACATCGTGCAATATATAAAAGACATTTTTCCTGACATTTTGCTTATGCAACATAAACACATTGTTTATGCAAAACGTGTGCATGTTTTATAGAAATATTGCATGCAATATGCTTAATTTTAAATCTGCGTGCCATTGCCAAAGGAATGCTAATCCACAAATCGACAGTGTCATAATCATTTTGTAATATTTTAGGCACACGTCAGTGGTATAATCATGTTGTAATGTTAAAGTGACTTGTCCGTGTTATAAGCACGTTGTACTATTCCAGGGACTCCCGAGCAAACCAGGCAGCTCATAAGCGAGTGGTGTCCCGATTCCTAGGTAAAGAGTTGAAGCCCTACCCCTTGTGGCTACGATCTGTGAAGTCAACTTCGGAAGGGAGGGCCCTCGAAATCTAGTGGTATGGCTAAAGGAGGAGAAATGGGATTGGGCCTTATCTATGCTGATGGTGTAAGGTCTAGGCTGGAACTTTCAGAGCTGGGGTCACGGATATGTGAAATGGGCTGCACAGCATTTTTCTTCATGAAGTCACTATCAATACTTCTCGTCATCTTCAGTTACGTGTTGCTTAGCATATGCATTCATTTGTCACTCCAGTATGAGCAGTCTACAGGTCACAATATCAAACACACAGATACATGTAGAAGAATCTCAGAGTTAGAGCCAATCAGAGGCAAACAACTGCCCCATCCCTGCCACTGATTGGCTCTGACTTTAAATTAAATTAAAAAAAAAAAGATCTGCAAAATGTTATGTGCACTAGTGTGACCAAGGAAGAAAAATTTGTCTTACGACATATTTTTGGTCATGTGTACAACCAATTGAGCCTTAGTTGGGGGTTAAGGACCTTGCTCCTACAGGCATGATGAGGCTGGGCTTGAACCAATGCCCTTCCAATCACAAACACAAAGGCTTTGCCCACTAAGTCACACACTGCCTAAAGCAAGGGTCTCCAACTCCGGTCCTGTAGAGCTACTAACCAGTAGGTTTTCTATCCTACCTGGCTTCTGATGAGCCACACTAATTCTCAGGTAAATACCAGGAGCAGGTGTGGCTCATCATCATCAGAAGCCGTTAGGTTAGAAAACTTACTGTATAGTAGCTCTCCAGGACCGAAGTTGGAGAGCCCTGGCTTAAAGGGATTTTTTAAAAATATTATATTTTTGCGCTCTGGAAAGTATGTCATTCACGTGCCAATTAAAATTAAAAATGGTGATGCAAAAACTTTTTTGGATTTCTTTTTAATTACAATGGATTGACCCTCAAACTAAATTACAGCATTATCATTGCAAAAAATGTGGAGCAGACATGCATTACTCTCTCTAATTTGTTTTCTTTAGTCGTCTTTAGTGGTCACATTAAATATTAGGACTAGTATTGCCAAAAAGCCCATGATACAATAGTCATCATACCAGTGTCACCATTCAAAGCAGCACGATGCATTGCGATATTACCATTATAACCTGAGGCTTGATGCTCCAAATTTAATTAAAAGGTGGTCTTTAAGTACCAAAGATGAGTCAGTACACTGAATAAAGCTGTTGCACACGTCAACTCCAAGTTTCATAAACCATGACTTCACAAATTTTTCAGCTCACTACCACAAAAGAACAGTACTCGTGACCCTCCCTAGGTTTATACATTTAAAAATGTATACATTGGTCTATATTAGTTTTATTATTTTATCCATGTTTTACCTTTTTTTGAACACTTACAGTTAAAGTACAAAACTTTTAACATTTAAAACTTTTAACATATTCTGGAAATTATTTTGTGATCCCAAAACCTACTCACTGGTGTTCAAAGGTCCTGCAATAAATAAACAAATCAATCAAAATAACGATTAAAAAATTGTGACAATTGAATAGATGTAATCATTAATTGCGGCATTAATACAGCAGTAGTAAATATAGTTATGCTTCTATTAGAATTGTAATGAATTACATTGTTTAAAGGCACACATTGATTATAACAAACTTCTGTGTTCATGTCCACATACATATTTTTTCATCCAATCACTTTCCACACCCGCTTGTCCCATATAGGGTGGCGGGGGGTCCAGAGCCTATCCTGGAAGCTACGGCCACAATGCAGAGCATAACCCAGGACAGAGTGCCAACCCATCGCTGGGCATTCACGTACTGTGAAACCACATAAATGCGCGCAGCATTCATAGTCCACAAACACAGTAAAATGCAGGTATATATATGCATATTAAATGACAGATTTGACAGTGACACATCTTTAAAAATCGGAAGAATGTTGCAAAAATCTACATTTCTAACTATTTGGAATGAATATGTAGGTGACGACACAACACCAAAGCATGGACTTAATTGTTTGCAATTCCCAGACGTAATCAAAAGGCACTGGCTATCGTGATATAATTACATCTGCTAGAAGCACTTAAAAAGCAAAGCATTCAAAAACTTACCTGTATAACGTTATATTGAAAATGATATTCCCGTTCTTTCAACAACATGCCATCTTGAATACCGCTGGTCTAACCTTTTAGACATACGGCTATAGCTAGCTCGGTCAAATGCATTCAAGATATAATACCAGCGATTGCAATAATAAACAACTGTATATTTTATTTGCATTTAATTATAAAACGTTTTCTTCCTATTGATACTCGTTATTTCGACCTATTGTTATATTCGGATTTTAAGATGTTATAGCTTCATTTTAGCACTACCTCGAAATTGACAAAAATAATAAAGAATGATCATAAGTTTGTTACTCCACGTTTCTGAAGAACTGTTGGGATTCTTCTTCGGTGGTATTAAAATTAGGGTCGGGATTCTGTATTGAAAACAACCTTCTACAATGTACCTGTTTCAAGTAAAGGAATCGGTAGTGTTTAGTTTTCATACCTAATACAGCACACCGCCTAGCGATTGGGAGGACTAAATCTGATGGACGTTAATAATAAAATAATCGCAATTCTTCATGCGTCCTTTTACATTACATAACGAACATGCATTCATATAGCTTTCAGCTGCTTCTCCAGTACAGGGTTGAGGTTTTAACATAATTATCAATATTTAAAATGTGTGAAATGTAGACAAACGCAAACTGGCAAACGGACACAACGGAATTTTCTGTTAATATACAAGGAGACACTGAGGAACATTCTGTGTAATTGCATAAATTCTGTTATTGCAAATAGTTTTTAATTGTTACTTTAAAAGGCTGCAGTATACGTTTTGATATAATCAAAACAAATTTAAGGGAATTGCACGTGATCCATACTTATTTGAATATTAGATGAGATCAATAGATAAAATAGATAGGAACTAGAGATGCGCGGATCAGCTAAAATGCCACCCGAATCCGCGGCTTTAAACAAATCATCCACCCGCCCGCACCTATAATTTTCTCTGATATAGATATCCGCACCCGCTTCTTCGTTTTTAACAGCAGATTCAGTGACTTTAGAGCTAATCTGCGCATCTCTGATAGTAAA